CCGGCCCCCCCAGACCCTTCCCCCTCTTTCCTGTCCTCCCAGTCCCCATTTTCCTGCCTAAAGGAAACAGGCACTCTCCACCGGGCCCTGACTCAGGAACCGGGTGACTGGTCTGAGTCAGGCTCCAGCCACAGGAAGCAGCTCAGCCACAGCTTAACGAGAACTTCCCTGAGCTCTCTTGGTTCTGGTCGGTGCAACAAGCAGGGCTTCCCTCAGGCTCAGCCTTGCCCAGCTGAAACGCCATAGGGAGGTTCTGCCTATGGCCCCGACCCTAACACCATGCCATTAACTGAGCACCACTGTCTGCTGGACTCTGGGCTAGGGGCCTTGACCCTTGACTTCATCCTTAGAACCCACTGGGGAAGGTGTCATCATCCCCATTTTATAGATGAGGAAACAGGCTCAGAGAAGCTAAAGGGGCTTATCCAACCTGCCTGCGGAAAGCAGAGCCCCGGTCTGACCCAGGGTAGTGTCTCGGCTTGCCAGGTTGGCAGTCAGTCTCCCCCGCACTCTCCTGGCTGTGTGATGAGCAGGGCAGAGAAGCTGAGGCTTCTCCACAGTCTGCTACTGCATGGCGGACAGAAGTCTGGCTCTGGGGGCAGAAACGGGCTGAACCCTGCCTGCACTACCTCCTACCCATACCACCTTGTGACACTTACTTAACTCTGTGCCTCAGTTTATCTATAAGGTAGATACGTGGGGAAAATAAAGCACTTCACTTCCATGTAAAGGTCATCCCTGTGAGCTCTCAGCACAGGGCCTGGCACTCGTCCCCAGTAAACGTGCACTGCCATTTGCTGTCATTGACGTGGCTGCTTAACCCAGCTGTCCCCTTGGAAAGGCCTCCCCAGGTTTCAGTGACTAAGGAGATGCCTGGCCTCCCCTCTACATCATCCATCATCCTCCCACAATGGACAGTCCTTTCCCTTCCCATATCCTAGACCCTGGGTATCAGCCCCCAGCCTAGGGCAGCCCAATGGCACATGTGGCACATGCCCCGGTGACTTGGGACAAACTGCTATTCCCCAGGCCTAGCCCAGCTCTTCCCACGACAGCATCAGGCCTCGGGCAAGGCTTGGATGAAATAACACAGGAATGGCTAAAATGCGGCCGGGCTGCGCGGGGCAGGGGCTTCGTACTCCCCAGAGGCCACTCCTCTCCTGTGGGTGTGGAGGAAACAAAGAAAGAAAGAAGCCCCAGTCCTGGGCTGGTGTCCTGCCAAGTGCCAGCCAGATAGACAAGTGGGGAGCCGGAGCAGCACCGGTGACAGTAAGGCCCCAAGCCTGCCGCCAGCCGCGTTCTATTGTGAATTTTCCTGCCTTTCCCAGGCTGGGGGTCTTTGAGAGAGCTGGATATTCCCCAATCTCAGATATGCCTAGAAACATGTCATAGCTTCCTAGTAAGAAACAATAAATAGCAGAGGGTTACTGCGATGAATAAGAGGCTCAGCAGAAGTATCAGGGTCTCGTGACTGTGTTTTATGATCAAAGGGTTCTTTGCATTTTGGTGATCATTTGAGGTTAAATACTTAACCCGGAGGATGGGGTGGGGACAAGGTAAACAAAGAAAAAGCCAAAGTGAAGCCAACTTCTTGGGGGGTAGGGTAGACGTTGGAGTGGAACTGACTTGGAGAGTCACACCTCTAGTAAAACCTGGAGCGTCACCTCCCTTCCTGACCCAGTGAGTCACATCGCCGAGGACACAGTCACATAGCAAGACTATGTGGCCAGCAGCCCGGGTCTAGAAGGATGCAAACAGCTGCTTTCTATGTTTCTGTTTTAGAACTCTGTGCCTTTGAGAGAAGTCCAAGTTTGTGTCCCTAGAGGCGGACCCTGACCGAGCGAATTGGAAGTAGAAAGTGTGACAGGTCTCAGGGGAGGGAAGGAGACTGTGGTTAAAGCACTGCTTAGTGACAGGCATGTATTGCCATGTCTGTCCTTGAAACTACCCCAAGACAAGCAGTTATTAATCCCTGTTTATGAACAACAACAAAAAACAGATGTTAATTTACACATGGTAACACAGCCAGAAAAGAAGCTGACCTGTGCCAAAAGAGAAAAATCTGAAAGATCTTGCATATATTTTATTCAAAAGTATTTGGCGAACATAGAAAAGAACCCAAGTTAGCCTACCAAGTGAACAAAGTGTATTATAAAGTAGTGTGAATTCAGTATGACCCCAATTTTATAAAATGTAGATGCATTTATAAATAAACGTCCAGAGGAGGCTACACCCTGAAATGCTTAATAGCGATGATCTCTGGGTGATGACATCTAATTTTCTATACTCTCTGGGCTTTTCTGTAATTTTTAAAATGTTAAACAATAACCATGTATTATCTTTATACATGGAGAGAGCCCCAGAAAAATAATTCTTTCAAAATCATTAAATAAGTAAGTTACCTGGGCCTCTTAGGGTTGGCAAAGGCAGGGCTGACTGTTCTAGAGACCTGTCGATCCATCTGTCTGTCCACCCATCTATCCATCCATCCACAATCCATCCATCTACCCACCTATCCATCTGTCCATCTGTCCAGCCATCCGTCCACATATCTAACCCATCCTGTCTATGCAGGCTGGTGCCTTATGCATTATAGCTTTGTCTATATAGCTGTGGGAGCTGCAGAGAACCATCCCCAGACTTCCACCCAGGGACCAAGGCAGATACTGACAGCTCTGCCTGGAGGCTGTGGATGAGCACCATCTCCTGGTCAGCTTGCTCACATCACATGGCCTGAACCAGTGACCTTGGCTTTGCTACTGCCAAACCCCTCTGGACAGATGGACAGCAGCGGCGGAGGAGTGAACACTCCTCCCCACTCAGCAGCCCTGAATGGCTGTCACTGGTCTTGAGACTTACCGGGCGCTTAGTGAGGTCCCAGTTGTGGATGATCCTGGCAGGAATCACTGAGGCATCGTCTTGGTGGCAGATGTCACAGTAATAGAGGCCAGAGAAGGCACAGAGCTTGGGTCGTACGAAGGAGAAGCCGATCTGCCGGGAGCAGCCTGGGGGGACGGGTGGTGATGGGTGAGTGGCAGGGCCTGCGTCAGCTCCTGGGGACTAGAAGCTTAAAGGGATTGCTAGTTCATTTTATTATGAGAAAGTACAAAGATGAAACTAACCACCACTCACATTTCCACCACTCAGACTTAGCCCTATTAATTAATCTTTACAACACATTTCTAAGAATTATTATTGCCAAAGAAATCAATGTTCAGAGAGGTTAAGAAATCTGCCTGCTGGGACCAGCAGATGGCCTAATGAGATCAGTGTCTGCCCAGCCACCGTCGCTGGGCTCCCACATAGCCAAGCACTGTTCAAGTTCTGGACCTGTTGGGTTGAAACTCATGCCTAATGCGTGTGCGTGCATGTCTGAAATCCCGAGAGGAAAATGGTGGAGAAGGGACTGTGGCATGGCTATCTCCCCTGGGGGGTGATTACTCATCTTATGTGTCTCTGTCTCTCTCTCTCCAGCAAGTGCACATGCTCTATAGCAAAAATCTCTCTTAAAAAAAAAAGAAAAAAGACATCTGCCCGGTCACACGACAATTAAGGGGCATAGCTGGCATCCACGTTGGAGTTTGGTCAGTTTCAAAGCCTGCATGTTCTCCCATTATACCTGGCTGCCTCCGTCCCATGCCTCCGCTGCTTGCTTGCTAATGCTGACCTCAGCTAAGTCCATCCTGACTGGGGTCCAGAAATGGAAGCAAATAAGTCAGAGCTTCAGCAAGTAGTGAAGGAGCTGGGCAGATAGGGCTGGGTGCAAGGTATGGAGGGGAAGCCAGCAGGAGGCAGGGCAGTCTGAACACTGCCAGTCTGAAGGTGGCCTCAGGACAGTGCAGAAGGGCCAGCTGAGCCCCCTTGGTTGGAGTTCTCTCCATGGCGGAGGTGGTGGGGTACACCCAGGGCAAAAAGCGAAGGCTTAGATCAAATCCTACACCCATGGCCTGCCTCCCGCAGAGACAGTGGAAGGGACCCTCCAGCCTCAGGACCAGAGGGCCAACTCTTCTGCATACCAGCTGCCTCACCTGCCCTTCACCTAAGTTTTTCAAGGTTTCATTTCAGTGTCTATAAAATTCAACCACCAGTCATTTTGTGGATTATTACAAAGCTTAAATGAGACAAGGCCCTGAAAATGCCCTGCAAACCATAACACCTGACCCTGCTGTCAGAGATTAGTGTCTGCCCAGCCACTGGCCGCTGTGCATAGGGTGGAACAGAAGGCCCAACCTCCCCAGTTTCACAGTCCTGGATGGCAGCTGACGGCCCCTGCAGCGTTCACACCCACAGCTGGGGAACCGTCCTGAGGCAAACAGCAAAGTGTGAGTGCTGGAGTGTGGGGGGTAGGGGTGGGTGGGTGCAGGTTGAGCAGTGCAGACGTTTTCTGCAGGAAGCCCTGCTCTTCTCAGCTTCTCCCATCCTCCAGGGGCACCAACCACAGACCATTTCCTTCCAGATGCTTGAAGCTGGCTTTCCCCTCCAGTTGGCAGGCACCACCCTGACAGGACAGCTGCTGTGCCAGCTGAGGTTCAGCTTCTTACTCTGGCCTTTTGTGGCAGGGCAACGTCCTCACGATCCACCTGAGTGCCCGAACGTGACAGAGGGGGCATCTCCCCTGGGAATACCAACAGTGGGCTGCGGGCAGCAGGACACGTCCTGCAGCTTTGAACTAAACCAGGGCGAGGAGGCCCTCTAGGGTCCTACCTATAAGCACAGGCTCTGGGGCCCCTGCAGGTCCTAATTCTGCCTCTGCAGAACTTATTAACTGCGTGAACCTGAGACAGAGTACTTACCCACTCAGTGACTCAGCGTCCTCATCTCCACACAGAGATAAGAATAGCACCCATGTCTACAGGGTTGTTGTAAGGATGAAATGAGACAATCTGAGTAAAGCTTGTGGCCTGGTGCCCAGCACTGAGGTATTAGATTTGATGAGGATCATGATATGACAGCTGTACTGACTTGGAATAATATCCCTCATGGATTACTAAGTACGAAATAACCAAGTTGCAGAACACTGTATATAGCTATGCTGCCTAAGGCGGTGGCCACCAGCAATGTGCCCCTTCAAATTTAAATACACCTGAAGGAAAAACTCAGTTCCTTAGCCATACTGGCCACATTTCAAGCATCCAGTAGTCACCTATGACTCACAGCTACTGCGCTGGAGCAGCACAGATCTAGAAAAATTTCATCATCACATGAAGCTCTATTGGACAGCACTGAATAGCATGAGGCCATTTTTCTGTAATTTGAAAAATTGCATTCACTTGTGAAAGCACGCAAAAATATTTGGAAGGCTATCATGCCCTGCTCTGAAAGAATAGGCCAGCACAGTAACAAGGTAATGAGGGGGTGGAACTATCCAAGAAGTGGCAGCAGACCGCAGGGCCACCACCCTCAGGCTCGAACCACCAGCAGGAGGTGGCAGAAGAGGGAAAGGGGGCTGGCTCAGGTGGGTGCTGGGGAGGCGCAGAGGCTGCGGGGCCAGCCTGCTCTGCTGCATTGCCCCTGTGAGGGACAGAGGCGCTTGAGGGGAATCAGCAGAGGGTGGGGTGCCTAAATCAGGAAGCCCACGGGGCAGGCTGGGGGAGGAGCGAGCCAGCACCTGCGCAGAAGCAGCCCTGGGAGTCGAGGCCCTTCTCGGTGGGGATGGCCACCAGGTACTGCAGCAGGAAGCCGTTCTCCCGGGTGGCAAACTTGAGCACCTCCTGGCAGTTTTCGTCCAGACTCCCGCTGAGTGTCACCGCCTCCTCCACAGTCTCCAAGTAGGATGCTAGGACCTTGCGGACCAGGTCCCTCCACAGGGCGGCCTCTTCAGCATTCCTCGCCTGCAGCTTCAGGACAGCCTTGGCTGTGATGATTTTGAAGAAGGAAGGGCCCCCGAGGCTTGTGTCTGGCAGGATGTCTCGGATGGTCTCGACTCCATGGCTGTCACTTAGCATCTTCTCGTTGTTTCTCACGCGGAAGCATTTCAGAGACTCCAGTGACAGGGAAAAAATATAGGGCACCCAGGTCCTGTCAGTGTACAGGTACAGAAGGGACTCTTTAATAGCATCTGGCTCTGGGACATGGGCAGACGACCAGTCAAACTGCGAGCCCTGGAGGGTTGCAGGCTCGGAGGACAGGTCTGAGTGAGAAGGCAGGCCACTCTGAGGGTCCTCGGGGGGATCTGCAGGCTCGTCTGGGTACTGGACATTCACCCACTCGTCCTCCTGCTGAGGCCGGACCTTCTGCAGGGCCTCCCGCACCCGGTCCAGCCAGTCCTCGGCTTCGTCCTGGGAGGAGGCACGTAAGGCCAGTTTCTTGCCAGAGAAGACCAGCTCGAAGCGCCCGTCACTGTGGGCTGGCCCCACAGACTCGCAGCGCAGCAGGGAGCAGCTCTCCACACAGGTGCGCTCCTCGTCACTCAGGTAGAGGCGGAACTCCAGTGGGGACAGCTCGCAGAAGAGCTCCTTCCAGATGCCCATCGCCCCCCGCCGCTCCACCATGCCCAGCTTCATGAGACCACGGAATGGGTTGGACAACCCTGGAGGCAGAGAGAGCAGAGAGGCGTTTAGACTTCCGGCCAGTGCCTTTAGCTCCCATAGCAACCTCGAGTGCCCCATGTCCTGGAGTGGACAGAGACTGGCACCAGAACACAGGCCGGCCAAGGGGCACTGTCGAATGGGCTGCTGAGAGCCAGATGGGAATACTTGGGGAGTGCCTTCACCCCATCCTCACCCTCAGCTGTTGATCCTGCCAACAAAAGGCTTTTGTCCTCTTGTTGCACTGACACTGCTCCTGGGAAGGCCAATGTCCTCCTTTTCACCAAACTCAAAGGCCGCTCTTCAGGACTCACATCCACAGTCAGTCTCCTCGGCTGGCTCTGCCTCTCCCTGACAGCTCTGGGTTGGAATCCACCATCTCTTTCCTATGGACACCCCCTCCTAGCTGACCTTACCTGCTCTCGGGGCTTTAGCCAACCACCCCCACACATTTCCTGGACAAAACAAAAGCACCCCAGAAATGACTTCCACATGCCCCTCACACAGCTGCCCCTCCAGCATCTGTGCCCCCACACACTCCGCTCCTGCCACCAGGGATGAACCATCTGTGCTTCTGTGTGAGGCCAGCCCCTCCCTCCGTGCAGGAGCTCCCCCTCCCCACCACCTACTCAAGGACAAGGACGTCTCTTTGGCAACAAGCCCTGTTCTCCTTCACCGCTGGATCGTCCCACCCGTGCACAGACACGCTGCTATTTCTCCCATCTTCCAAATACCATTTGTCTGCACTCACGCCTCTAATTACCACCATTTCTCCTCTATAGGAAAAGTGCTTGAGGAGGTACCAAAACCTTCCGTGTCTAGTTTCTCCACTCCCGTTCCTTCCTGAATCCTCCATCTGGGCTTTTGTCCTCTTGCTGTACTGGCTCTGCTCCTGGGAAGGCCACCAATGTCCTCCTTTTCACCAAACTCAAAGGCCGCTCTTCAGAACTCACATCCACAGTCATATTCTCAGCTGGCTCTGTCTGTCCCTGACAGCTCTGGGTTGGAACCCATCTCTTTCCTATGGACACCCCCTCCTAGCTGACCTTACCTGCTCTCGGGGCTTTAAGCCAATACCCCCACACTTATCTGCAGCCTGTAGCTTGTTCTCAAATTCAGATCCACTGTCCATCTTCCCTGGGTGTGTCTAACAGGCATCTCAGAGCTGACATGTGTAAGGATGACTCTCCCACTGCAGACTTGCTTCTGCCCTGGGTTCCATATCTTCCTGTCCCCCCCCCCACCCAAACCCCCAGGCATTCTGTCAGCAAATGGGTTTTACCTTCAGCACATTTCTAGAACTCCCACTTCCCACCTCCACCACTCCCTCATGAACTCAGTTTACTGGCCTGACCAGATCCTCGTAACTGCTCTTTCTCCTCCTGTAGTCCTTCTACATAGGAGCCAGGATGAACTATTTAAAAGATAAGTCAGACGTGGGGCCAGGTAGTGGCACAGCAGTAAAATGTGATCCTCTGCAAGGGTGGCCCACAGCGGAGGGTACTGGGTTCATCTCCAGAGATCTCCCTGAGTACGCCGAGCATGCATGTGCCCTAGATCTGGGACTGGCCAAAGCTGGGGGTGGACCATCAAGGCCCTATTGGAGATGCTGCCCCTCAACCCTGTTGTTCTCACTCATGGAAAAAGTAAACTTAAAAAAAAAAAAGAAAGAAAGTCAGAGTATGTCCTTTTGCCCCAAACTCTACAGTGGCTCTATCCCCCTTGGTACAAAGGCCAAGGTGCGGGACCAGCAGTTAGCGTAATGGCTATGTTGCTGGACTCCCATGTAGTTGACCGCGGTTTGAGACCCAGTCCCCGGTGGCTTAAACTCACGCCAGGTGCATGTGCATGCGTGCCCAAGATCCCAAGAGGACAATGGAGGAGAAGGGATTGAGGCGTGGCCATCCCCCCTGGGGGGTGATTTCTCACTTTCTATCTCTCTGTCTCTCTGTCTGCCTGGCGAGCGCACGCACCCTATAGCAAAAACTGCTCCAAAAAAAAGAAAGAAAAAAAAAAACAAAGGCCAAGGTGCTTTCTGTGGCTCATGGGCCCGCTGTCACCTTAACCTCATCTCTCGTCCCCATCTCCATCCCCTCTGCTCTGGCCACTCTGGTCTCCACCATCCCCTGGAAGTGCCAGAACATTCCTACAGGGAATGCGAAGCCTGCTCTCCCTGCTAGAATTTAAGTCCCATGGAGACCAGGATATTGCTCTGCTTCCTGCTGTGTCCCCAGCACCTAGAACAATGTCTGGCATGTCACAGATGTTCAACAACTATCTGCTGAATGAGCGGGTGCTTTGACCCACCCATGGCTCAGTGCTCCCAGGGGTCTGCCACCAACTAGAGGGTCCCAAAGGAAACACGATTCTCTCTCCACTTGAACTAGCCTTGGAGTTTTCCTACCCCTCAGAAAACCTGATGGCCTAGGTGTGAAGCATACCTTCTCTGTGTGGTTACAGAACACTGCCATACATGGGCTCAAAGACAGCCCTAAAAGAAGCCAGGACAGACCAGGGCTCTCTCTAAGTCAGGGCCCCATGGACCTGCCTGGATTTGTTGCTGTGTCACTGCAAACAGAAAATGAGGAGAGAAAGAGACCATCTCCAGGGCACAAGTTTTGTTTGTGTGTTCTGAAGAGAAAATCTATCGTTAAGAGTTACTGAAAAGTCAGCTTATGGTTACTTAACACTTTCTGGAACTTCACAGGATGTGGAGATCAGGCTGACCTCACTATAAACAGCACGTGGAGGACAGTAAGAGGCAGATCTGATAAACCCACCAGAACTGTTAAACACACCATGTAGGACACGGAAGAACCAGGTTTCCAGGCCAGCAGGCAGCAAGGTAGTGAAGGCACTGGACTCCCATGTGGCCGACCATGGTTCAAGTCCTAGATCTGGTGGCTTAAAAATCATACCAGGCATGTATGTGTGTGTCCAAAATCTGGAGAGGAGAAGGGATGGCTGTGTGGACATCTTTTTGAGGGGTCATCTCTCACTTTCACCCTCTCCGCCTCTGTTCGTCTCTCCCTCTCTCTGCCTCTCTCTGTCTCTCTCAGACAAGCACACACGTCCTATGGCAAAAATCTAAAAAAAAGTCACAGAAACAAACAAAAAACACCCTATGGTAAAAATCTTAAAAAAAAAAAAAAACCCACATACACACACACACACACACACCCATACACACACACAAACAGACAAACAAAAAAACACCCTGGCTTTCAAGGGCAGGGTTTGCTCAAGCTACAGATAAAATCAAGAGTTTTGTAGAATCCTAAGTTTTATAGGGAAAATGTTTTCCATTTCAATATATGAAACAGTATTTTTGGACCCTGTAGGCAGTTTTGAGCATTAATTTATTAAGGTTTTGTAAGAAAATATGGTACTTTTCCTGAAATCTTTCCTGAATGACTAAGCACGCATATTCCTTATTACACCCTGAGATGAGGTATTTCTGGTGGGACTGCACTGCCCATTTGGTAATGGAAAACAGCACTTTATATCTGCTTTCACAAAGGCAGGGTCCCTGCAGCTGGGGCATAGGCGGGATCCACTGAGTCACTTACCCATCTGCCTTCGGTGCACCACGCAGAAGGTCTTGTGCTCCTGCGCTGGGGCTGCTGTGCTCTTCCTGCTTGCTGGGGAAGGCATACACTCCTTGTCTAATGACCCCAAGGAGCAGCTCTTTCTTGGTCCTTGAGAAAAATGCCTGTGGAGGCCAGGCCTTGACTCTGGAGTCTCTCTGGAAGAAGCCGTCGAATGATCTGAAGCACTCTCTGGTGGCTGACCCTGGGGAGGCCGGTAGAAATCGTCCTCTGAGATCCAGCTCTTGCTTTTCTATTGAGAAAGAAGACAAAAAGAAGAGGTTGTTTGTTGTCCTTTTTTCTTTTAATTTTGCCAGAGGGAGCATATACTGGCCAGAGAGAGAGAAAAGGAAAGTAAGAAAGCACGTCCCCATGAGGAATGATCATGCCACAATCCCCTATCTTCCACTTCTCCCTCCTTTAGGGATTTTAGGCATGCATGCATATGTGCCTAGCATGTTTTTCAAGTTGGCATATCTGAGACTCGAACTGTGCTGTAGGCCATGTGGGATTCAGCTGCCTTAACCACCATATCACAGGTTGGCCTCTTTAGTTGTCTTAAATTTTTTTTTTTAAGAATTATTTTAGTGAATCTTATTTGTTTGTTTATTTATTTATTTATTTATTTTAATTTGACCAGAGAGGGACAGAGAGAGCGAGAAAGAGAAAGTGAGAAAACAAGCGGCCAAATCTAGGACTTAAACTGTGGTCAGCCATGTGGGAGTCCCACGCCCTTAACCATCACGCCACCTGCCAGGCCCAAAGTTTTTGTTTTTTTAAAAATATTTACTTAGACATGATTCATATACTATGAAATTAACACATTTAAAGTGTATAATTCAGAGCCAGCCAGAGGTGTGGTGGTTAAGGCAGGTGAACCCCACATGGGAACTAGCCGACTGCATAGTTCAAGTCCCAGACCTGGTAGCTTAAATAAAATCATATAATACGCGGTCTTTTGTGACTGGCTTCTTTCCTTTACCATAATGTCTTCGGGATTCATCCATGTTGTATGAGTTTCTCAGTACTTTTTCTTTTATGAGAGAGAGAGAAAAAGGTAAACACTCTCAATAGGGTCTTATGCCACGACCTCCCCACTCCCCAGCCTTCCCAGTCAGCAAGGATCACACGCAGATGTGGGAATTGGGGGATCCGAGCCATGATCTTCCATATGGATCCAGCGTTGCCTGAGTGGTGTGTTACCACTGTACTGCCAAGCTGGCCCTGAGTACTCCATTCTTTTTTATTGCCAAATAATTTCCCATTGTATCGATGCCCCACATTTTCTTTACCTACTCAGCAGTTGATGTTGGTTGTTAATGCTTTTTGGCCTTTATGAACACTGCTGCTGTGAACATTCATGTACAAGGTTTTGTGGGGACCTGTGTTTCCATTCATTTGGGTATGGACTCAGGAATGGAAGCCCTGCAGCACATGTAACTACGTTCAACTTCTTTTTGCTTCCTCATTCTTTTTCTGTTATTTAACATTTATATTGTCTTTTATTATGTCAGAGGCACATATATGAATGAGAGAAAGAGTGAGCGTGTGCACGCACAAGTGTGCACACTCTAGCAACCTCCAACGAGGCGTAGTCATCTGCATGCTTTTTCCTCCAGTTTTCCTTCAGGACGAGCACCCGTGTACACATGGCCTGTTAAGCTGCCAGGGGTGTGACTTAAACCAACTACTTTCCTTCTTTTTTTCTTTTTTTTGAGAGAGATTTTTTACTATAGGGCAAATTTTGCACTCATGAGAGAGAAAAAGCAATAAATCACCCTCCGGGGAGATGGCCACACCATAGTCCCTTCTCCTTCATCCTCCTCTCAGGATTTTGGGCATGCATGCACGTGTGCCCAGCGTGAGTTTTAAGCCACTGGGTCCGGGACTCTAATCACTGTTGTCCATGTGGGAGTCTAGTGCCTTTAACCACTACACCACCTGCTGGCCCCGAACCAGCTTCTTCTGAACAGTACTTAACTGCTGCACTACCAGTCTGGCCCACTATGTTTAACTTCTTGAGAAACTGCCAAACTCTTTCAAAATGGTTGTACCATTTTACATTCCCACCAGCAATACACAAGGGTTCCAATTTCTCTGCAGCTTTTCAGTGTTTCCTATGAACTGTCTCCTGCAATGCAGCTTTCCTGGTGGGTGTGAAGTACTACTTCACTGTGGTTTTGGTTTGCATTTCTCTGATGTCTAGTGACACTGAGCATCTTTTCATGTGCTTATTAGTCATTTGTACATATTCTTTAGGGAAAAAGCCATTTAACCCTTTGACCATTTAAAGCATTTTTGTTCTTGTTGAATTGTATCATGAGTTAAAATGTACTTTGCAAAAAGACAAGTTGAAATCCTAACCCCTGTACCTCAGCATGTGACTTCATTTGGAAACAGAGTCCTTACAGATAGAGTTAGTTAAGATGAAATCATACTGGAGCACAGCGGGCTCTCCATTAAGTAGGGCGGACCAATGTTATTGTAAGAGGAGAAAAGACACATACAGGTGCTGGCAAGTGGTGTGGTGCTTGGGGCACTGGACTTCCATGTGGCCAAATGTGGTTAGAGTCCCAGACCTGGCAGCTTGCTTTCTCACTTTCCCTCTCTCTCTCTCTCCCTCCGGTCAAATAAAAATAACAACAACAAACAAAATTAAGTAAAAAAATTCTTAAAACAAAAACAAATAAAAGACACATACAGAAGAGAAGCAAGTGGAGACAGTGGCAAAGGAGGACGCATGTGATGACCAGAACAGGAGCGAGGCACCTACAAGCCAAGGTTGTCGGCAACACCAGAAACTAGAGAAAGCCATGGAATAGCTCCTCCCTTAGAATTTCCAGAAGGAAATCTGAATTTTCTTTTTTAATTTGCCAGAGGGCACATGCCCTTTCCAGAGAGAGACAGAGAGGGTGCAGAGAGTGAGAAAGCACCCTCCATGATGAATATGCATGCTGCAATCCTTTCTCTTCTATTTCTCTTTTTAGGGTTTTTGGACACATACGCACATGCACCTGGCATGTTTCTCAAGCTGCTGGATCTGGATCTTGAAAGGCGTTGGCGTGAAAGTTTTTCATTTAAGCAACATCCAACGACCTGTTTTTATTCTTCCTGTGCATCTGGTGTTGTATCTAAGAAGCCTAAGCTACAAAGATTTACTCCTTGCTGGACTCCCACGTGGCCGACTGCAGCAGGAGTCCCAGACCCAGCAGCTTGAAAATCACACCAGGCGCATGTGTGTGTGTGCCCAAAATCCCCAAAGGAGGAGAAGGGATTGCAGTGTGGGCCATCCCCATTAGGGGGTGATTTCTCACTTTCTCTCTTTTTCTCTTCGGTGAGTGAACACATCCTATGGCAAAAACCTAAAGGAAAAAAGAAAAGGTTTATTCCAGTGTTTTCTGCTAAGACTTTTCTAGGTTGAGCTTTTATTAGGTCTATAAGAAAGAATGCAACTTTACTTTTTTGTACATGGCTGTCCAGTTGCCTCAACACACAGGGTTTTCCACCCTGTCTACAGGGCTTGAGATGGAGGAGGCAGGGTGAGCAGGACCCAAGTACTCCACTGGCCTCCTCTGCCTCTGCTCCCCACTTTTGAGCAGCCCTAAGACTCCAAGAAGGCAGCTGTGCCTTCCTCTCTCTTCTGCTGTTTTCTCTGAGTCTGAAGTCGATCACTGGCTGGGGGAAGTTAGGAGGGGGCCTGGGTCAGTGGGAATGGAGTTGAGTTCCTTTCCTTCACTAATTCAAACCTTTCCTGTCTCTCTGTGCCTGAACACAGACAAGCAGAGGCAAGGAGGCTGGCTGGGCTGCCCTGAGTGGCTGTCTACATAGGAAATGAGTCACATAAGGGGCAGGCCCAGCTCAGGAATTTTGTTAAGTGCCACAGACCTCACCCTGATGGTGCTATTCCAACCCCCAAATCACTGATGCCCTCCCTGCTTATGCAGAAGGGGAAGAGGCGTGGCCTCAGAAGGATTGGTGTGGACAGTTCAATCCATTCAGATGGCATGATTCTTTAAGCTGAGAGAGGCGAGTTCTGATTCGAGAACTTGGTGGGAGGGGAGGGCTCACAGAACTGGGACCTCAAGTTCTCTCCCCTGAACTGTATGAACTGACAGGCACTTCCTTCTGGCAGTGACAGGATATGTGAGGGCGCCTCCTGGGGACCATCGATGACACTGGCTTTTGAACAAACCCTGCCTAGCTCATCAAGCCCCAGGGGAAGTCCCTGAGGAAGATGAGCAGAGGAGCAGATGTTCAGTATCCTCTTAGCTGTCCTGGCAGTCGGGCACACACCGGGAATCACATGGCTCAAGCCCCTGCTGATGGCCGGGTGGGAGAGGTCGCCATCCAGCTCCCAGCTCAGGGTCATCCATCCCCTCCTGAGGCTTTCCTGACCCACGCAGCCTACGACTTACTGCAAGCTGGGTTAGGACCTCCCACTGGGCTTTCATGATACTCCGTGCTAACTCCCACCTTACACTTAGAAGGTAGTTTGGAATGGTCATTTTTCTTGATATCTCCAGTAAAAGTGCCTAGCACAGAGACATAGAAGGTGAGAAATAAATCTTGACTACATAAATGTCTCACGTAAAATATAAAAGGTGGCCGAACTAGAAGGGGGGAACACGGGCGCTCACTGGTGAGGGCTTCCCTCTCCACTGATTAGAGGCTACAGCATTAGGTGTCAGACACCGTCCACTGAGCACAGGTCAGCTGCCAGGGAATGACGCTCTGGGGAACAAGGGACAACAGTGGGAACGCCAGTTCCTTACAGCTTCTGCACACTGGACAGAACTTTGAGGCTGTGTGCTCCCCCCACGGGGTGGGAAGGACCACGTGAGAGTGCGCAGGCGTGAGCACCACTGTTCCCCCTTTCTCGGCCTCTTCCTACCACCTTCCTACGGCCTGTTCATTCAGGGCCACATCTGGCCAGCTCCCTGCCCCTTAACAGTGGAAGAAAATCACCACCGACCCAGGACCTACAGCAGGGCAGCACCTGCTCCCAGGGGTCCAAGACAAGAGGACAGCCACCAAGGGATACTAAAGGTATCATGACACTGCGTACCACAGCTAGGTCCCCCAGAGGGGATGACTGAGGAAATGCCACATCTCTGGGCCACTCTCAGAAGGACAGAATTTTGGGACCAGCAGTTAATGTAATGGCTATGTCGCTGGACTCCCATGTAGTTGACTGCAATTCGAGTCCCAGACCCGGTGGCTTAAACTCACGCTGGGCATGTGTGCGTGCATGCC